TATTAAAATATTATTTATTTACATAATGTTATGTGTGTTTTGCCTTTGTGCATGTTTGTATGCCAAGTGCCCACGGCAGTTCCTCTGGAACTGGAGTTACAGAAGGTTGTAAGGTGTCATATACATGCTGGGACTCGAACCTGGGTCCTCTGGAAGAGCAGCTAGTGCTCTTAATCACTGAGCCACCTCTCCAACCCTCAACCACCTTTCTTACATCTTCCAGGACCACTTGCTCAGGGGCAGCACCACCCACAATGGGTGAGTCCTCCTGTATCAATCATTAATCAAGAAAATGGGGCTGAAGAGATGGCTCAGAGGTTAAGAGCACCGGTTGCTCTTCCAGAGGTTCTGAGTTCAATTCCCAGCAACCACATGGTAGCTCACAACCATCTGTAATGAGATCTGGTGCCCCTTTTTCACATAAAGTTGTGTATGCAGATAGAGTACTCATATACATAAAATAAATAAATCCTTCAAAAAAGAAAATGCCCCATATGATTTGCTTCAGGTCAGTCTAACAGAGGCATTTTCAAAGGTTCCCTCTTCCTAGATGACATGAGTTTGTATCAAGTCCACAAAACACAGCTAACAATAATCACTATCCAGGATGAACTAAAGTAACAATGACAGTCATCATAGTACATCTTCAGATAACAGTAATAGCCAGGTTTAGCTAATAAGATGTAACTCTGGGCAAATCAATTTTCTTGAGTCTCTTCCATATGGTAAATAAAGATTGTATAAACTAAACTGTGAAATGTTCAATGTTTGCTAGGACTGTTGTGATGGGAAAGTGTGTCCCATGGTATATTTTGTTTTTTGTTTTTGAGACAGGGTTTCTCTGTCTAACAGCCCTGACTGTCCCGGAACTTACTTTGTAGACCAGACTGGCCTTGAACTCACAGAGATCCACCTACTTCTGCTTCCTGAGTGCTAGGATTAAAGGTGTGTGTCACCACTGACCAGCTCCATGGTGTGTTTCTTCAGTGTGACCCTGTCCTGGTGACAGTGGAGAATGTTGTAAGCACAGGAATCTCAATGGATTGTCTATTATAGTCTTATCGTGAGTCCTGTCTTTCCATATTTTTTTTTGCTTTTTTTACGAGACAGGGTTTCTCTGTATTGTTTTGGAGGCTGTCGGTCCAGCCCAGCCTCGAACTCACAGAGATCCGCCTGCCTCTGCCTCCCGGGTGCTGGGATTAAAGGCGTGTGCCACTAACGCCCGGCTCATGTCACTTTTACAATACAAACCCTAACTAGCTTATGGAAGTCTTTCTCAAAAGTACAAAGTTCCTCCTCAGATTTTGCAGTGCTGACATAAACACTTGTTAGTTTAGCTCATTGGTTCTCAACCTTCCTAATGCTGTGACCCTTTAGTACAGTTCCTCATGTTGTGGTGATCCCCAGCCATAAAATTATTTGTTGCTACTTCATAACTGTAATCTTGCTACTGTTATGCATGTTAATGCAAATATCTGTGTCTTCTAATGGTCTTAGGTGACCCCTGTGAAAGGGAAATTCAGTCCCAAAAGGTTGAGAACCACTGGGTTAGCACATATGTTATTCCACTCTGTGGATCTAGGCCTTTCTTCCTTCTCTCCAGTGCAAGCTGTCATTGCTCTCAGTCGGTTGCTGCAGCCTCCAACAAGAGTTCACTTGAACAACAATTTGTATTCCTGGATCAAGTTTTACGAAACCGTGATTTACAGTTTAACTTTTACTCTCTGAGGTAAGTGCGGGAGGGGTGATGCATTAGTGTTGACACCTTAATTGCCTGCACACTTACCAACTCCTCTCTTTCCCTTGCCTGTCTGCTCTCAGCAGCAGCCACAGGGACCTCTGGTGTAGCAATTTAGCAGCTTTCCCGAGGCGATGGCTCATTTCACTCATTTCTGAGAAAATGTCTGTCAAATACCCAAGGAACTATCATTTAGTCTACTATCAGCCACTCAAGAAAATCAGTAAGATGATTGTAAAAGGTTTTTCAGGGAAATCTGTAAAATCGAATTCTTCTCATAATAAAAACTTGAGTTTATTAACTTTTTTTTCCACAGTTAACGTTTGCAGATTACACAAAACCAACATCAATAGAAGTGATTGGTGTGACTCAAGACAATGGCATCAAATTACACTAGTGGTGGGTATGCTCTGCCTCACCTGACCAGTAAATACAGTCAGACTTGTTTCCTTCTCCGGTGTCTGTGCTGAAAGGTGGACAATTGGTGTCTGTAACGCCAGCACTCAAGAGACTCAGGCAAGAGGACAATGGCTTGGCAGGCCCTGAGGCCATCCTAGGCTACATACAGCATTTGGGGGAGGGGAAAGGCCCTTGATAAAGCAGTGAGACCAGTAACTGTATGACATTTTAACCCTTGAAACTGCTAGGATGAGCAAAGCATTCTTGCAGTCTTCAAAGTGTGCTGGGTTTGTCGACAGAACCTTTGGGCTTACCTGCGCTGGGGGCGGAAGCCTTCGTTTTTCCCATGTTTACAGCGCTGGGGTGGGGGGGGGGGAGCACACTAGGGAAGCACTCTGCTACAGAGCCACTTGCCCAGGCCTACCGTGTAACTTTCTGACCATTTGGAAGATTTGTTCTTGAAAGTGAATCAAATGGGCCTGGTACTGTAAGGAAAATTGTGTATTTACTATCAGTGACATTTCCAGCTTTTGAAGCAAAATCTGAGTGTGGTGCATGCACACACGTGGTACATGTGTGTGGATCCATGCACGGTTGAGGCCAGAGGAGGATGTCTGCATTTTCTCCATCGTTTTCTTTTACTTTTTATTTTTGAGATTGTTTCATTTCCCCCTTCCCTTTCCTCCATCTAAACCCTGCTACACACTCCTTGTTCTTTCAAATTCATGGCCACTTTTCCACTAGTTGTTGTGTGTGTGTCCTAATACGCAAATATAGTCTTCTCAGTCTGTAATGTCACTGCTATGCACGTTTTCAGAGCTGACCATTGGCATCAGATAGCCAACCGGTCTGCTCTTCCCCAGGAAGACTCCTTGTCCCTCTCTGCCTTCCTTAGCTGCCTGTAGTTCTGGGTGGGGCTGAGGCCCTGGGAGCTGTTTCCCTGCCCACTTTAGGGTTATGTTGCTCTTACTCAGTTCCTCTTTAGGCTGTCATGTTGGTGAGACGCTATGGGTGTCTATGGCGACACTCTCACCACACACTCCTGACCCTCTGGGATTTATGCCCCTCCCCCCAGCCCCTTCAATGTTCCCTGAGCCTTTGAATCTTTGAGAAGGTTGTGTGGCTTGGGATTGGGCTCCTCAGTTCTGCATTTTGATTGCCTGTTCTTTTCCGTAATGGTTTCCATCTGTTGCAAAGAAGTTTCTCCCTCTTCTCTTTTATTTTATATATGTGAATGTTTTCCTACTGTGTCTGCTGTGCACAGAACGGTGAGAGGAGCCACTGGGACTGGAATTACAGACAATTGGGTGGGTGCTGAGGACCTTCTGAGGGAACAGCCAGTTCTCTTACCCATGCTGTCCTCTCTCCAGCCCGCCTTCCTCTTATTTTCTTAGCACAGGGTCTCTGACTGAACCTGGAGGTAATAACCTGGAGTGCTGGGGTTATATGCCCATGGAGCTATGCCTGGTTTTTCACACTGGTAGTGGAGATCTGAATGTAGGTCCCCGTGCTTAGCTCCAGAGCTCTCTCCTGAAATCTATTACTACTACTTTTTTTTTGTTTGAAACAGGGTCTCTCTACATAGCCCCAACTGACCTGAATTCACTATGTTGGCCAGGCTGGCCTTGAACTCAAGAACTCGGCGACCAGCCCGGTTCTGCCTCCCATTGCTGGGACTAAAGGCAAGCCCCATCATGCCCAGCTACTCTTATTTTAAAATAAGTTATTAAAAGTATTATTATAAATAAATTAAAAATAAACAAAAGTATTTTACTTTTTCTGTTGCAATGACAACACTGTGACACACATAAAAACTTCCATGTCTTCTATAATTTTTAAAAGTGTGATGGAACTACAAGAATGTGCTTGGGAATCTTTTTTCTGAAATGCATCAGGTCATGTTTTAAACAAAGACCTCCCTCAGAAGTTCTTGCGTTGGCCTGCCAGTCTCTACTTCCTGTTGCTGTCCTGGTACTCCATTGCTCATCCCTTCCTGCCGTACTGCTTGGGGGCAGCCAGATGGTTTCTGTGTAGCCCTGGCAGTCCTGAAAGTCGACCTGTAGACCAGACTGGCCTCAAACTCGAGATCCCCCAGGCTTTGCCCCCTGCTGGAGTGCAGGACTGAAGGCATGTACCACAACGGCCAGTGAGTGACTCTCTGATTGTTTCATGTGATCTTGAACTCAAGAGATCCTCCAGCCTCTGCCTCCTGGGTGCTGGGATCAGAGGCGTGTTCCTTCAGTAAGTCACACACACTAGCAAATGCCCTATTAGATGGTAAGCAACTTCCCGTGCTCTGCATGGCTATTTGTCTTGATTTCCTAAAAATCTTTTCCCAAATGTCATCATCGCAGTATCTTAGCATCATAAGCATAGTATTTAAAATTGTGAATCCTTCAAGCTGCCCCAACCTCCCTGCATCTTCAGGGAGGGAGGGGTTGGGGCAGCTTTTTAGTCTCCCTCTCTCCCTCTCCCTTCCCCTCCCCCCCTCGCTCTCCAAACTGGCATAATGTATGCCCTCAAACCTTTGAAAAACGCTCTAGTGAACACTGAATGGAAAAAAAAAATCCGTTCACCATTTCTGAAGACACACAGACTAACTCCGGATGAAAACAGATGCAACGTGCATCATAAAGTGAGGCCGACGGCAGTAGACTTCAGAAATGGTGGGGAAAGCAGGGGAAAGACTCCCTGCTTGAGGGTCCCTTTGGGACCCGACTGTAGGCCTGAAATAAAAAACCCGAGGCGGGGGAAATGTCATAAAAGTGTGTATGATGGGCTTAAGACTATGCACGCTTGAAACCTTGGCCCACGGCACCCTCCCCGAAGCCCAACCCAAGGAACGCAGCAATCCACACCAAAAGACGGGACAAAGCCTCAACTTTATAAAAAAAAAAAAATGCCAGTTACGACAACCAACGGAAGGCAGACTCGACAGGCGTCGTCGCTCCCGGGCCGTCCTCTTCTCCCCGGCTCGCCGAGCCTGGGGGCCGCTCCTCGCGCACAGTCCCCGGGGGTCACTCGGACAGTCTCTCGGTGGCTTTGCGGCGGGTCGTCCGCGGGCGAGGCAGGTGGCACACACGACACGGAGACGGTCAGGAGACCCGAGCCGGGAGGGCCGCTCGGTCGGCCGCGGGCCGGCGGGGGAGCCCGGGCAGCGCTCGTCTCAGTTCTCCTCGGGCTTGTCCGCCGGCGGCCCGCTGGGCTGCAGCATCTTCTCCATCAGGTTGAAGCGCACGCGCGCCTTGCTCTCGTTCTCGGCGATGGCGAAGTAGTTGAGGAGGTCGAAGTGGCCCATGTAGGAGCAGTAGGAGTCCCGGTGCTGGTTCACGAGCCATTCCCACTTGGTGGTGTCGGCGTGGCCCGTGCCGATGTACTTGGACTGCAGATGCTCCAGCTGGCTGTGGATGGTGTACCGGTCCGTCATCTCGCCGCTCGGCGCTGGGCTTCGAGGTCCGGCCGGAGAACAGACGCTACCGCTCGGCGTTCAAACCAGGGGGACGCCGCCGCCGCCGCCGCCGCCGCGACACGGAACTTCTGCCTGGGCAGGCGCGCGAGAAAGACGCCGCCGCGACGCGTGCGCAGACGCCCTCCTCCGAGGCGGAAGCGGACGCGGATTCGGTCGCGGCATTGGAGTTGCCTAAGAGACATTTGGGCCGTCCCCTCGCCGAGCCCGCCTACTTGGAGAGCGTTGCATGACGGTTGGCTTCGTGACTCGCGGGTAATCGCGGGCTAACTCCGGCGTTGCATTCTGGGACTTGTAGTCCTAAGATTTGAGGGTCGGTTTGTTTTGTTTTGTTTCTGATTATTTACCTGGCTAATGTAGGATGGTGTCCAGGTGTCCAGCCGTCTGGAAGCATCCTCCAGCGGCACCAGGCTACAGAGAAGGGGAAACCCACGTGGGCCATGGCTACCAGTGGCCAGGAAAACTAACTTTTGTACCTAGAAGCTAACATGGCTGCATGGTCTGCCCTTGGTCCCAGCTTTCTCCCTTAGGATCTGGGTAGTGGGGAAAGTTCTTTGGGCCCTAAATGCTTGGTGATGAGTGTCAACACCGGTAGTCTCACGTGGTGGCTCCAGCTCCTCACCCCATCTAGGGGCTGAGCCCTCCAAGCAAGCAACCTCCTAACTCTAGGGCTGCTCACTAGCATTTCTTTGAGGTCAGTTGTGTCTCGAGACGAGTCATCTCTCTTGTTCTTCTGCCTGGTTACACCTTATGTTCAACATGGAGCGTCCGCACCTCCTCACAAGGGTATAAACTACTTGAGAAAAAAATAGTGTACTTCTTTTATGATATCCTTTGAGGATATTATATAACTTGATGGAGATTGTATTCTTTTTTATTATTATTATTATTATGTATACAGTGTTCTGTCTGCATGGCAGAAGAGGGCAGCAGATCTCATTACAGATGGTTGTGAGCCACCATGTGGTTGCTGGGAATTGAACTCAGGACCTCTGGATGAGCGGCCAGTGCTCTTAACCTCTGAGCCATCTTTCCAGTCCCGGAGATTATATTCTTTAAAAAAAAATCGGATGAATGGGCAAAGAGCAATTACAGCCAAAGACATTGATAAAAGGGAGGGTCCAGCCCATTAGAGTCGGAACACCCCTGGGCTGGTAGTCCTGGATTATATAAGAAGACAGATTGAGCAAACCAGTAAGCAGCACCCTCCATACCCTCCATGGCCTCTGCTTCGGCTCCTGCCTCTAGGATCCTACCTTAGATGATGAAGTATGATATGGAAGAGTAAACGAAATAAACCCTTTCTTCCCCAAGTTGCTGATAGTCATAGTGTTCTGTCACAGCAAGAGAAACCCCAACTACGACAAGCAGAATCTACATGAAAATTCTGTTAGTAAGAAATAAATAAAAAATTAGTGCAATTTCAGTGCCATTAAGAATGCCTCTGGTGGCCTGGCATTGGTGGCACACGCCTTTAATCCCGGCACTCAGGAGGCAGAGGCAGGCGGATCTCTGTGCGATTGAAGCCAACGAGGTCTATAAAGTGAGTTTCAGGACAGTCAGAAACCCTGTCTCAAAAAACCAAAAACATACATAGATAAATAAGTATAAGAATAAAAAGAATGTGAGACAATCCCTCGATTCCAAAGCCCGGAGGAAGAAGACATTCACATGAAGCTATCAAGTGTCACTAGCGCTGCCATAGCAAGCAATGTGGAGGGGCGTACGCAGCAGGAATCCATTTCCTCATGGTCTGGAGAAGGGAAGCTCCAGAGCAAGATGCTGGTGGGCTTGCTCATACTCCAAGGCTCCTCTGAGCGTGGACAGGGCATCTTCGGTCTGAGTTTTGATATTCCTCCTATGCCTGTCTGTTCAATGTCCTCTTATGAGACACCAGTCACCCTGGATTAGGGCTCCCGCCTCTTATCTCATCTTACTTTAGTTACTATTCTATTGCTCTGATAAGACAGGGTTTATTTAGGCCTCACTGTTTGAGAGGGTTAGAGTTCATGACTGTCATGGCAGGGATCGCGAAAACAGGCAGGCAGGGAGGCAGGCATTTCTCTGGAGCAGGAGCAGAGAGCTCACATCCTGAGACAACAACTGTGGGGCAGAGAGACAGAGACAGACAGACAGGGACAGAGAGAGAGACAGAGACAGACAGACAGACAGACAGAGACAGAGAGAGAGACAGACAGACAGAGACAGAGAGAGACAGAGACAGACAGACAGAGACAGAGAGAGATAGACAGAGACAGACAGAGACAGAGAGAGATAGACAGAGACGGACAGAGACGGAGACAGACAGACAGAGACAGAGAAAGATAGACAGAGACAGACAGAGACTCTTTTGAAACCTTGAAGCCGACCTCCAACAAGGCCACACTTCCTAGCCCTTCCCAAACAGTTCTACCAACAAGAGGCTAAATATTTAAATACACAGTGGTCATTTTCATTCCAACCACAAGTAGCTTTTTAAGAAGCCCTACGCCACACCGCAGTCACACATGGAGGTGCTGGAAATTAGGCCTTCCCTGTGTGAATTTTGAAGGGACAGGGTTCAACCCTAACACACACACACACTGACATGGAATAAATAAGGCACATTTATTGTTGTTGTTTTGTATTGGTATTTTGGTGTGCTTTTATTTTTGCAGTGCCGGCTCAAATCCAGGGCTTATTAGGCAAGTGCTGTGCCACTGCGAGTACTTAATCCCCACATAATTGTAAAGTTAATTAATTCTATTTATGAAAACCACTTAAGCACTTGAAAAGGACTTTTGTTGATAAATCACATTATTGTAATACCTATAGAAAGGGAAGAATATATGTATCTTAATAAACTTAAAATGCTTAGACATTAAAATTTGTAATGGAATTCCAATTTTTCAAAAGCCCCTCAGAAATAATTTATAAAATGTGTGAGACTTATAACAGAATCTTCAGGTGAACTTAAAACCTTGAAGAAAGAAAGGCAGTTTTTTTATTTGTAATTTTAATAAGTGAAGCACTAACTTTTAGAATCTAAATGCGTTTCTGAGTACTTTCTATATTCCCAAATGACTTTTAGCCTCTGTTTTCCTGACAGAGTCTGACTCTATAGGCCAGACTGGTCTGGAATTTGAGGTAACTCCAGCCCAGATGACATTGAAAGGAACCCCAAAATCCTAACATTTAACTATGTCAGCTTTCAGATAAGATGAAAACTCAGCATAATTTTAATGGAAATTATATTAAATGTATAGATTAAATGAGGGAAATTGTACCTGCATTGTACTGAAATTTTTTCACTAATGCACATAGAATATATTTGCATTTATTTGTGTGCCTTTATTATAAGCTTTAAATAAAGCTGTGTATTTTCTTCAGTCCTTTCCCATGTTCTACTAGGTTTATTTTGGGTGGGGGCTGTCATGCGTATTTAAAGATGTTCCCTAAGAATCCTTGGGAGCTGGGAAGGACTATTGCTCTTCTATATTTACTACTGATATGGAATTTTGGTCTAGAACTGGTGACTTTCACATGTATGCATGTTTTACCTGCATGTATGTCCGTGCACTGCTTGTGTGGCTGGTGCCCCCAGAGGGCCTTGGACCCTGGAACTGGAGTAACAGAATTGTTAGCCACCATGCAACCATACCTGAGTCCTGGAAACAGTAACTCGTGCTCCAACCGTATGGTGACTCACAACCTTCTGTAATTCCAGTCTCCAGGTGCCCCGAAGACACTGCATATATGTGATGAAGGGACACAGATAGGGCCTCAAACACATTTAAAAAATCGCAGAAAACAGACACAGACGGAGCCTCAAATACATAAAAAAATCACAGAAAAACAAAGCAACCAACTCTTTCCTTCCCTTCTTCCTTCCTTTCCTCTCTCTCTCTCTCTCTCTCCCCCTCTCTCCCTCTCTCCCCCTCTCCCCCTTCCTCCCTCTCTCCCTCTCTCCCCCTCTCTCCCTCTCTCTCCAGGGTCTGTCTATCATCCAGGCTGATGACCAGCTCACAGAGATCCTCCTGCCTCTGAATCCTGACTGCCAGGATTGAAGGCGTGTGTGACCCTGCCCAGCTCTCTCCCTTTATTGGTCTTGTTTTATACTGCATGATGTTCCCATGGGCAGGTGTGTCATACTGTAAGTAACCACCCTTTCACTGGCTGACTGTACACTGTCTCCAACTCTACAGTGACTAATATCATCCATGGGTATTGTTTTATACATGATTATTCATAGGGCAGTTCTTCACAGAGGCGTTATAGAACACAATTTAAATAAAACAACAGTTATAATACCCATGAATTACTGTCACCAGTCATTCTCCATAACTTTAAACTGTGTTGTGCTGAAGAAGTTATGTTCAGATTCGCTGTAATTTAGAAAACCAAGAGTTTAAATGAAGATCAGCAGAAGACATTCCTTTTCGTGTTTTTTTAAGACTTTCAGTATGTACAGGTGTTGCAATATTGTGTGACACTAGGTGGCGCCAAAACAACACTTACAGCCAGCCGCACAGACTGGTGGCCAACATTTTTGTTAGTTGGACCCCAGCAAGCTTCCCAGCCATAACAGGCCAGAAAGGTGTCTTAGTGACAGACTGCTGGAGGTCTGACTTTGATCCGCTGAGTGTTTAAAGGAACCAGCTAAGATTCATAATTTAGGAGGAGAAAATGGATGATTTCTTTGTCACCTTCCCAGTATTACTTTGGAGTTTCATATTTAGTTAGAATGTGTGTTAGTATGAAATTTATGGAATGTACAAAGCTTCTTCATGAGTTTTGTTTCTGGAGTGTGTGCGCGTACATGCGTGCATGCGTGCGTGCGTGCGTGTGTGTGTGTGTTGCTGTATGTTGCTGTGTGTTAAATAGTCTTTTGCTCTTCTCTCTCAGCCATAGTGAGTTTCATGTGTGAAGAGTTAGAACTCTGCTTGGGAGGCTTTGACCCTACATAAGCTTACACGTAAAGTCGAATTATCTATACCCTTTTCATACTCCTGTACCGGGCAAACATGTCAAGTGCAGGCACTCCGGGACATTCTTAGGATTTAATGAGCCACTGATTTTCGGTGATAAAAGGCTGGTACAATTTTTGAAAATTTTCTCATGGGGGAAATT